AGCCAATGCGCTTGCTAATTATTTCGCTAGCGTTTTCAACCCTGTAGCTCCTGATTTTTTAACAGACAATGAAGTTGTCGCAGTTCAAGCTAATCGACATCTGTGCGACGTATACCTCGATTATTCTGATGTTTACAGGGTTTTAAAGTCATTGAAGCCTTCACTTACAGAACCTTTCGACGGCATACCCCGGATCATATATGAGGAATGTGCAGAATCACTTTGCAAGCCTTTGACACACATTTTTTCTATTTCTATGCTTACTTGCGAAGTTCCACTCTTATGGAATGAGTCCCTGATTACACCGATTTCTAAAGTATCTTCCCCAGAACTGGTGACAGAATTTCGCCCGATCAGCATGACTTCTTCTTCGGTCAAGGTTATGGAAAAGATTCTGAGAGATAAACTGACATCATGGCTTTTGAGATCGGGTGCCATCCCCAAGGAGCAACGTGGCTTCTTAGAAGGGGCTAGTAACACAACCAACTTAGCAGATACTATTTTTGACTGGACAATGGCGGTCAATAACAACCAATCAGTTGATATCATTTTCATTGACCTTTCGAAGGCTTTTGATAAAGTGTGCCATAAAAAGCTCTTGATAAAGCTCAAAAGACTTGGAGTTTCTGGAAAGTTACTTTCTTGGTTGGAATCTTATCTACATAACATACACATGACTGTAAAAATTGGACTTGATTACTCCAATAGACACTCTTGTAATAGTGGCGTTCCCCAAGGAGGTGCACTTTCGCCTTTACTTTTTTGATATATACAATGGATCTTCCTTCAATCTTGAAGACGTCACTTCATATTAAAGTACAAATGTATGCTGATGATGTAAGACTTTATGGAATCTATGACTCCTCTAACTATGACGAGATTCGTAATGCTTTGAAGACGTCCCTCGAAAAAATGCTCTGTTGGTCACATGAATGGGATCTTCCCATAAATCTTGACAAATGTGCGGTCATGCATATCGGGGGAAATGAAGGAGCTAGTTATGAAATTAACGGAATCACATTAGCAGAATGCAAGCTGATGAAAGATCTGGGAGTAATGATTGAACCATCTCTCAAATTTTCTCAACATACAGATGTCATCACCAAAAAAGCATACAATGTACTATATGCTATTTTCAGATCTGTACATTCTCAAAATTCTGCCATATTCAAAAAACTGTACAAAACTTTTGTCTTGCCTCATTTAGAATACTGTTCACAGATTTGGAATCCATATTTGAAAAGAGATGTCAGAAAGATAGAGAAAGTTCAACAAACATTCACACGTTTGTTATACTTTAAATGTTGGAAAGGTATGACTAGAGCTACCCTCCCATCTTACCCTAACCGTCTTGCAGAACTAAATATGAAAAGCTTAGAACAACGCAGAAAAATTTTTGATCTTGTTTTCTGTTTTCGATTACTACGGAAACAACTGAGCATTCCTGCAAGCAAGTACTGGGTTTTTATGCCTACCAGTCCACGCTCCCCTTCTTTCAGTTTGCATTATAACAGGATCAAAAGAAGACAATTTTTACTGACGTACAACAACTTATTTTGCCGAGGAGCGAGACGGTTACAGCATTTACCTTCGAGCATTCTCAGTTCGACCTGCGGCTTTAGTTTCAAGTCAAAATGAAGGAGAGTTGATTTGCAGCAACTTCTGTTTAGTCAGTAATACTTTCTTAGAGTAACTTTCTTTCCTTCAGCTGTACTGGTAGACAAGCCTACTGTGAATGGTATTACTCAAGAAGTTGTTATTGGCAAAGACAGTCGTAATCACAATGCAATGAAGGATTTAGGAGGGCATGCATACCAAATACAACCATCAAATTCTGTTTTTTTCTTTTTTTTCTATATTAATTTCTTTCATATGTCTTAGTAACCCAATATTCCCGTCACGTTAATTTAGGTCTAATGTTTGCTTCTCTTTTCAATCAATATAGCTTGTTGACTTGCTTCTAATCGAATTACAAAAACTGAAACCATTTGATATTTTTTCGGAGTCATTGGACTCTCCCCGGAATCATTTGGGCAAGGTTGATCAATATTACTTCACCAACCGAGCCCTGCTTTGCTTATTTTATTATGCAAGAGCTTCTGCTGGCAAATGAGTTGGCATGATTGCCTTCTTCACAGATAACAATCAACAAGTTTGATTCTTCCCGCTCATTTATGAATTACCCATTCACTATAACCTATTACAATTCACTTAGAATCATTGCTCACCCTGGCTTACTTCTGGTGAAGTCAAAAATTACGGCCACCATCAAACCTTGGCTGTTTGTTAATCAAAATCATCATTTTGCTGGCAAAAGGGGGCATGGGTCCATCTCCATGAATCACATTATTCTATTCTGATAATTGTAATCATGGAGCAGTCAAATACAAGCCTTCATCACACTTTTATCCAAATTGGACCCAAACTACGTGATGCCATAGTATTGCGCTTAAAGTATGTCAATCTTTCTTGATTTTATGACGTTCTTCTTCCTACCATTTCTATTCGAACGTCTTTTTTTCTATTCTACCGGATTTTTTGTTTTTATGGTCTACACTTAATGCATTATGATTGAAATGGCGCACTTATGTGCAATAAATATCAAATATCAAATATTTGGAATCAGCGTTCCAAGCTCATTCCAGATATATGTGTCTCATCTTAGAAGGCGAATCTTAGTTAGTTTCCTTACCTTGTAAGTGCAGAAAATGTAGCCAAGTCACGTCCAAAACAAGGATGACCATCTCACTCAAATGACCGGATATTTGGAAAGTTCAGGATTCTATTATGTTTTATTTGGGATTTTCAGGATTCCACATAAATTATATTTACCCCTGTAAAAGTTACATACAAAGAAAAAACGATTCAATGTTTTTTTAGGCATTTTATAGCCTTCTGAAAAATTCTTAATCTGCTCCGCAGTCGAAAAATCTGCTCCAGCCACAAAGAGCGCCCTGAGCAAATGCAGCACAAACCCTTCGAGTTCATTTTATCACTAGGTCAAATTCATTATCTGTTTTCTTGTGTTCTTGTATTATTTTTCGTATCGTGTTTGCTTCGTTTCAGATGAACGGAATCATGCAGTTTCTTCCGTTCATTTGATGGACTTTTCGTTCTTTTGAAGGGTTTTTTACATTTGAGGTTTAGAGTCAAAGGGGAATTTGTACGATATTCTCAGGATCAAAAGGGACTTCGTATTGAAAATAACCTCGTGCCAGCTCGTGTTGAGCTATGTTGCCAAGTCAAGAAAATAACATGTCTTTTGTTATGCATGTGCTGCTCCAAATTTTACTTGTATAGGAGAACCACTCGTAATGAAATGTGAATCTACACACTGCCCTCTGCAATCGAACCTCTCAGACAGTCGACGTTAGGGTTCGGGATAAACTTGAAAAAGCTCCGGGATCTCCCTTGTGGTGAGCATCCCATTTGTTCCCGAAACTTCCTCACTGGGGACGCTGTTTTGCTGTTTTGGAGAATCAGTGGCTTCTCAAGCTACTAAAAATGTCAACTCTCTCTTACACTTTGTTATAGCGACTTTGCAATACTAAGCGGCAATGATATTTTGCACATTTTCTGTTCTAAGCTGCATGTGCTCTTTCGGAAGCACCGTTTGTACCACTCAAATTAATACTTTGCTCAATGTTGCTTCATAACAGTAGAGCCTAGTGCATCTGAAATGGCTGAAGAGAGGTCTACATAGACAGTTAGACACAGTACTCGGCACAAGCTGGCCCCAGGGAAATTCCAAACGAGGTTTCCTTTGATCTTGCAAATTTCGTGCAAAGTGCTTTTTGACCCTAAACCCTAAACTTAAAAACCCCTCAAAAACGAAACGTCGACTAAAAAACGTCGCTATTTTTGTTATCGTTAATATTCAAAATACATCAACCGAAAACTTGCAGCACAAGCGGCTTTTTTGCGCATTTCTACGGCATTCTGATGCGTGGCTGCAATTGCTCATCTAATGTGTGTATACTACGTAAATGGTATTCGACGTTTCACTCTGTTTTCATTTATTTTTTGGAGAAGTTAAGTTGAAGGTTAAAGCTCAGCAGAATAGTTAATGTTCTATATCCTCAAGTTAACGAGGCACGGTCATTATCGGAAGTTTGCAAAAAAGGCAGAAAGTGTTCAGTTTCAGTAATTCGTATAGCGCTGTAAACGAGACATGCTTAGGATAAAAATGATATTCAGAAATTTTTGCCACTAGAAACAATTCAGAAATATTTGCCACTAGAAACACTGGAGGAAGCATATCTCATGATAAAATAGTTACTAATTGACGATGCAAAACGAAGACGATATCGAGCACGAAATTCAAAACCTTGTACAATACAACATGTTTTCTATGAGAGAAAGCTACACACTCGTATCTGTAGTACTCTTAAAACAGAGAATTACATTTTTGAAACACTTTGAAAACTCCACATTGACTCAATGAGTGAACACATTGAAAGCTGTTGTGGTTACCTACAACTTCGTAGCTCAATGAGGATGTACCGGTGCATATGCACCGTGAGAGTGAATTTTACATTGTTGCCGCAAATATCTTGCACTTCACACCACCGATGACGCGTGTGAGATTGCAAACGAACAGCGAAAGTGTAGTACTCAGGTTGCAAAAGTGGTGCGATATTTTCATAAAGGCAGTATGGCAGGGTTTCCTCCACGACTTAATTTTAGTAACGAACTCTCATATCCAAAATGGATCAAGAACAATATCTATCCATAAGGTTAATTTTGCTGTTGTTTCTTCATTCATAGTATGTAAGGTAGCGACTAAACAATAGGAGGTACCATACACATATCAAGCCTACAGTTAAGTTCAAAGGAATTCAGCTTGTTCTTTCTATTCACAATATACGATTGAAATGAATGATCATGTAGCCAGATTTCATGAATGCGCACTAAGGTACCGTAAATTTCGCTCTAATTGCAAAGTCAAGCCGTATCAGAGCCTATATATTCGTCTAGTCAGTAGTGGGTGTCACCCAAAAATGAAAGCACTCTGCATGAGTTTGATTGTGGGTATTTCTATCTTTTTTTTGACATTATATGTTTTTTTTCAGATCATACTGTATGCAAGCAGCGAGTCTTCAAGCAACGAAGAGGCCAAGAAAATGGATCGTACTAGACTGAACAGAAATGCGGGAAATTATCTTACAGGAGAAATGGGATTAAAAGCGGTAAGTGACTGAAGCATGCAAGGTCTTGAAAAATTGAATCTCGACGTATCCAAATCCAAGGCATTCAATCTAAAAGGTATTCTTCAGACCCCTTGCACCGTTCTCTCGGACGGGGCCCGATATTTAATATCTGCACTATATTTGTGGCAAATCAGCAGTGGTTTTGGAACATACGGTGATACAGCACTACTCTGGGAAACTTTTCCGAAGTAAGGCTTGAAACACCGACAACTGAACTTTTATTATCAAAAACCGTGTTTGCAGGAATCAGTACTTTCCCAGGTCCGTTAAAATACTTTTGAAAAGATATCGAGAGGACATAACAAAGGTACGCTTACTGTCACCTACTGAAGGTTTTGAAAAACCGTTGAAATATCAAAAACTCATCGTGAATGTTTGAATAAAGGTAATATTTAAATTCAATAGTAATATAAATTAAATATCGAAATAGTAATAGTCCATCAGAGGCGTTCGTGTTAGAAGATTTATTCTTGCATGATTCATTCTTGAACAAATTCTACTTGTACGTTTTTGACTAGAGTGTTCGAAAACTCACTCAATTGCCCGATATATTGGGTCACTGAAGTTCTGTCAAAGCATTCATGCATTAAAAATACTTTCTGTTTTAGAGGTTGTTGACTAAAAAAAATATGTGTTTCATAATTTACGCAACTTGTAAAATGTGTAATTTGTACAAGCAGAGGTGAAAGCGAACAAAATGGATTAGCCGTGCTTTGCTTTTCGGAAATGACCAACACTCAAATTCTCTAATCGTGTTTTTCCATATCGATCACAACTTTACATGGAACTTATAGTGTTTTGTTCCAATCTACTGCGCTTTATATAGCAGACTTGCTTGAAATCATCAAGCTTTTGTGATCTTTTACTCCACATTTTCTGTAAAATCCGTGCTTAAAAGCACCTTCCACCCTAAGTTGAGGATCTTGAGCTTTTGACAGCATATGATAGTAGGGCCCACTATCAAGCCAATGCCCAAGTCGCGGCGCAAAATGTCGCTTCGGAAGCGAGAAAACCGCTTCGGAATAAAGATGCACGAGGACCCCCAGACCACCGCCCTCCCATGCCCGCCCATCCTATCGCCGTTCCCAAAAGCTGGCCTGTGGGTTCTCTGGAACGGGATTTCAAGGTTTTCGCGAATTTTCGACTTTATCCGGAGTAAAGGACATGAGAAGGCCCTGAAACGACAAAAACCTGCAAGTCAAGAGACTTAGACGGTGCCTTTAAAGAGAGTGTCCGGGCAGGTTTGGAGCAGCTAGCTTTAGCCCATTACTAAAGCGGGCTCTACAGCAATATATCCTCACTGCTAGTGCAGACTACTTCTTCTAAAGAGAGAAAATAGCTTTAGAAGTGTACACAGACCCGTTCCTCGATTCATCATCGTCCTTATCAAAGCAGGAATTTGCGTTGGGGTACTCCGCTGCAATAATAGCGTCATTACGGCCATGTTGATTAGGACGATACTGAATTGAGAGGTGGATCTGTATACACTTCCAAAACTGTTTCCTCCTTCCAGAAGCATATTTCATTTCTGTCAGGCCATAGCTTGCACGGAGCCATTTTGAGGATGTCTGCGAGATTGTATAAGGTAGAAATAGCGTTCATGGCAAGTCATATATTAAGTCGTGTAATAAGTTCGTTTGCATTTGTGTTTTAGTTTTTTCTCCATTTTGCAAGCATTTGAAAAGATATTTGGATGCGTTCGAAAGTTCTAAGTCTGCTCTACCAAACTATTTTAATTATCTTCTCAATTTTTGAGAAGTTGATCAAAAAATTCGACTGTAAGCCGGAAAATTCGAGAAAACGAAAATTTCTTTTTCGACGTTTTTTCTCTCTTTCTCTCGTTGATCATTGATAAATTCATTCGAAAAGCAAAAGACTATTGAAAACAACAGGCTTACCCTAAAATCCCATAGATAATAGCGGTTTAATTTACTGGTGAAAAATGAATTGGAAAAATTGAAATTGAATGCAGTCACCGCTCCAACTTGATGGATGGATAAATAAAAATCGGACAAGAAGTTTAGAAGAGCTCTAAACCCCGCCCCTATATAAACAATTCATATAGAAAAATAGCGATTTTAACGGAATTTCGGAATTTTTATATGAATTGTTTATTAAGTGGGCGGTCTAGAGTTGAGGGGCGGAGCTCCTTCTAATCTTCTCCGATTTTTATTTATCCATCCATCAAATTAGAGGGGTGACTGCATTCAATTTCAATTTTTTCAATTCATTTTTCACCGGTAAATTAAACCGCTCTCTATGGGATTTTAGGGTATCACTTATGCACTTACTCCCACTATTTAAGTTTGCTCACTTTCTTTCACCGATTTGCAAAAATTGGCAGTGCAATACTTTGTCGCAAAGGCGTTCTTCTTTCGCCTACGTGAGTTGTGTGTCCCACAAAACCTGGCTTTTGGAGTAAGTTACCCATATAATGATTTCAATAATTTCATAATCAGAAACTTTCTGTTTGCCACTTTTGTATTGTTCGGGGACTATCTCCGCTCAAGGAGCCTTCAGATACTCAACGTTGTCGCCAAAGAAACGTTAAAAACAGGCCTATCTTTGAGCTTGCAACACGAAGTCTTCAGAGATTTTAGCATTCTTAAGTAGTTTGCAGAAGGTACAGCATATTATCTATGAACGTCGCAAATTTTTCGAGCTGTTTTTAGAGGCACCGTCCACCCTAAGTTGTGGGTGTTGAGCTCTTGGCAGCATATAATAGTAGGGCCCCCTATCAATCCGATGCCCAAGTCGCGGCCCAAAATGCCGCTTCGGAAGCGAGAAAATCGCTTCGGAATAGCGAAGAGCACGAGGACCCCCATCCATGCCCGCCCTCCCCCATCCATGCCCGCCCAATTGTGCGCGCCCATCCAATCACCGTTCCTGAAAGCCGCCTGTGGGCCCTCCGGAACGGGGATTGTCGGGGTTTTCTCGCATTCTCGACTTCATATTCGGAATCAGGGACACGAGAAGGTCCTGAAACGACAAAAACGTGGATTTCGAAAATCTGGGTGGATGGTGCCTTTAAGAGTCTAAAAGCATTTCAGACGCAGCGTAACATAGTTGACAAAAATGAAATTTCTATTTTCTCAAATAATCCGGTTTGTAATCGGATTTTTTATTCAAATTCTCGAAATTGAGGAAATAATGACAGCAGTTTGATAGAGCAGAAGAACTTTGAAAGCATACAAACATTTGCCAAATGCTCTGCAAAATATTGAGAAAAAAGTAAAACAAAAATGCGAATGAACTTATTACACAACTTAATATCTATAAATGCACCATGTTTATCCATAGTAGTGACGGCCTGAGAAGTTTTTTTTGGGAGGGGGGATGGAGAAGGGGATTGAAGTTCTTTCCAAAGAACGGCGTGGCGTTAGCCACGCTCTTCGAGAAACCTTTTGAAGTTGTCATTTCGCGGCTTTAACCTACTTGCTATAAGTCATGTAGACGATTCTCAGAAATTTCGAGACCCATTCTTGCTAGAATAGATTACCAAGGGTCCCAAAACTGAGTTGAAAAACTTTGACTCAAAATTCCGTTTTTTTATCGAGTATAGTATATCGAAACATTTATGCAGTAAAATGTTTACCAAGAAATTTTTTGAAATCGGTAAAGTCTTTTCTTGCATTTGCAATCGGCGTAGAACTTTTCAAACAAAAAGACTTGACAAAACAAAACAAAACACTTCAAACAAAAAACTTGTTGATACTAAAACAGCCTCTTGAGAGGAGCTATAGACTATGGCAAGAAGGACAGAAGTACAATGATATCGGCTGCGACATGATTTAATACCTCTCTTCTTCAAAGTACCCTTTGCTTCGATTGAGAGCGGGGCTCCGTAGCCTACACCTTAACTGCTCAGTTAGTGGGCAAGCTCCAACAGTCCACTTAAAGCGCAAATGACCGTTATGTTTACAAATAGTCAATCTATTTTGTCACTTTTTTCAGTCGAAATTGGAGAAGGGCTGTCAAAAAGTTAAAGCAGATTCTTTTAGAGATGAGGTTGAGCTTCAAACTCTGCGATTTGTCAATTTGATAATCATCCCTTATTAGCATTGTTGAGTTAGATAACCAGTACAACTACAAGCTAGAAAATGCAGCTTGAAGAACTTATCACTTCGATATGTTTTTAGGAACGATAGTAGAAACGCTGGATGGATAGGCAGCGAAAACTCTAGGGGCCGCATGCTAACCTCCCCGCTGGGGAGGGGATCGCAGCTTAAAAGAAAGCTTCATACTTTAAAACTCCACATACCTGGATTTCACGTTGTGTGCCTATCCGTAAGTATTCCTACTACCCTTCACTATGAACATGTTGAAGAGGAGCGAGAAGCTGTACGAACCGCATTTTCCAGCTTTTGTATGATCCCTGATGATCCCCCGCGCTTTTCTTTGAAGTCATTTTTCTATCTCCGAAGTTAACGAAAACCTTCCAAGGTTGTACTGAACATCTAACACAACAGTGCTAAGCATGTTGCTGATGAGAACAAATGAGTTTTTGAAAAGTCGAATTGTTCGGCAAACCTCAATTTTCGACCTGTGGAGATCATCGAAAATTTCATGACTTCAAAACATCATGTTCTTATCAGCAACATGTTTAGCACTGTTGGGTTAGATAATACGCACAACTTTGGAAGTTTTTCGTTAACTTCGGAGAATGAAAAATGCATCAGGGATCATACAAAAGCTGGAAAATGCGGTTTTTCTCGCTGCTGTACATTGCGTTCATAGTGAAGGATAGTAGAAATACTTACGGATAGGTACACAACGTTAATTCCAGATATCTAAAGCTTCAGAATATAAAGCTTTCTTTCAAGCTGCGAGCGCCACGCGTTAAAAATTTGACATGTCATATATAAGTTTCAGAGGTTTTACCAAAAGTTTATACCTATCAGTCTAAGCTCAATCTGTTTTGTATTCGATGACACCATTTTTATTCAACAGTTTCAAATATGAACATTGCGGCGGAATATTCTAAGCATACATCGTGTGCTCAGCGAACACACCAATTCCCCAAATGATGTGACTATTTTTCTACCATTTGTGCGGCGAAACAAGCGGCAGCCAGACACTTCAAACCATCACTTATATCCTTTTCTCACGAAATTCGCATGGCGGAAACAATAAACAATTCAAAGAGGAAGATTTTTGTATCGTCGCTGAGAATGACTAAAACGTTTGAAAATGTCTTGGATTGTATTGTTTTCATTGAAAAAACCGTTGAACAGGTCATTTAAAATGCCGCCCTACCGCACCGGAAAAAATCTCGAATAAAACATGTCAGACTGAGACCAAGCGCTCTGATACTTGGCAGGACACAATCCTCATAGAATCCATGAAAAATTTCAGGACCATGCACCTTTTTTATAAAAATGTTTGATAATATGGGTCCGAATAACAAAAAGTACCCGTACTTGTAATAAAGATGTAACTATACCGTACATTTTGTACTATGCATCCGATCTGAGATGTCGTCTATGTTTCCATAAGCTCAGCAGGTGAGCCAAGCAAAGGTAACAGGAACCTAAACTTCGAAAAAGAAACTTTTTGCGGTTTTTGATGGAGTCTTTTTGTAGATTACAAACAAGTCTTTTATTTTACAGACCCGTGTATAGACTATGGGGATCGTAACGCTTATTTCAACATTTCAGTGGTTGGAAGGTCATAACACAGTTCAATTTGGTTGTGATGGTAGGCGCAATCGGCATCACCCTGGAATAAATGGAACCATAGCCTGTGTTGTGTACATGTCAGAAAACTGCAAGCATCCAAACTTAGATGTCAGTAAATCCAAAAAATCCGATTTTGGTAGGAAGTTCCAAGATCATCTCAACTTCACCGGAATCCCAAAAGGGGGTGACACCGTTGTTTCTGCTCCCGCCTAGGGACGTATCGTTCGCACAATAAATTTTTCGCTAAATAATCGTCATCTTGTTGTGTCGGAGGCTTGCACCTCTATTAATGAAGCGAAAGTGGAAAATGAAGAGTTGCTTTGATGTCGGACCTTTAACTAAGCGATCGTATACACTCGATGGCGAAACATGTGAAAGCAAGAAATCTCTGAAAATCTGACCTTTTAGCTGCTTGTTTTTCCCATACAACAGTTCTTTCGTAACTGTAGGACCCCACTCCTAAAAAAAATGGATTTTCAGAATCCTAGCACATATGGTGCTCCAGTCATTACCAATGTGATCTACACACGGTTTCGAGTAAAATGAACTCGCAATCAATATTTCGATCCACTTGTTATTCAGCACATCTGCACAAGCCTATTCTTGCACTGCTTCATAATCATAAGACAACCTTGGAAAAATGCTATCGAGAAAAAACCAAAAACATGGTTTCATTTTCCGCTACTAGACCTTTTACCACTTCATTAAGCCTAATAGAATTGCTTCTAACAAATTTGTCGCCCAGCTATAAAACTATTGTTTCATGCGTTTGTAACGATTTATTCAACTTTTTCAAGGCTTCATAGCGTTTGTCTGCTTGAAAACGCCGTGCAGTATATCCCAAGTTAAAATTTAGGACAAGGCAGAACGCTAAACTTTGTAAAGGATGCACGCGGTATTAGCAATGGCAATGATGGACCTTTGTGCATGCCGCTGTACTGCTGTGAGACGTAGTGTTCTTTCCTGCACTTGTGGAGAAGAAGTTAGTCTTCCAGTTCTTGTCAACCTGCGCCTTATTACTTTTACTGAAAATCGAATTATCTAAACTAAGTGTCCCTATCCTATACGAATTTTGCAAGAGAATCTTTTGCCAAGAAGGTGTGAATTTGATTGCGTGAGTCTATGAGTCTTTTAGCTATTTAGCCGTCTAAACAAGATTAATTTCGCACATTTCACGACTAAACATTTCCTCTGTTGCGATGTTCATCGTAACGTCCTGTCCTAAATCTTATTGAAAAATTTTTTGAAATATACTGCCATGGCGTTTCCATGCATACACAAACATTATGAAACCTTGAAAAGTCGTCGAATCCGATGCTGGGCGAAAATCTGTCAGGACTATGTCCATCAGGCTTGATGAAGTCAACACGTTTCGGACCGCGACGCGCGCGGCGAAAAAGAGTACACTTTCAACCATTAGCCAACAAAGGGAGCTTATTTCGAAGGCTATGTGCTACATCTGTAATCAGCACGTCAGGTAAGTCCCATACACAAAGTTCTGAGTGAGTTTGAAGTGTTTAAAATTTGCGCTTGAGAAGGACTACTGTGCTTTCTCGGAAGATAGGAACAAGAACTCAGTTTGTAGTAGTATCCAAAAGTATCTATGTTGTAAACGGTACCAGTATTGAAACTACGTTTATTATTCTCTTTGATAACGAAGCAAAGAAAAGTTGCGACGTCGCACGCGTCTTTCGCTTTGCCGCGCTTCGTTGCAACTGATGTTCGATTTGTGCTCATATCTCCTAGACGAATATTGACGGCACGACTCTACAGAGTCAGTTGAAAAGTAGAAGCTTAGGCCTTTGACTTGATAATCTTGAACTAAAAGAAAACTTCCTGTAAACGTCAAAAAGATCCTTCAAAGCAGCGTGCTGCACCATGTGCGGCAACGCTCCGAAGCGTGTTAAAAAGTTACAGTGGCCCGAATCATTACTTGACACTTTTTAGTTCATGATTTTCTCTGTTAACTCTGTTTCAAATCAAACGAATTCGTTATAGAATTTTTCAGAGAATTTCAGAGCAAGACTCATGTACCAGGCTAGTCATACAAAGGAATGTTAGTATTATATTTATAACAAAGGTCTACCTGACTTTCTGCAATAGCAGATACACTTGATTCACAAGTACTAAAATGTTAGGAAAAAAGCGAAAGCTCTTTATTAAGAGCATAGCTTACAAAAGTTCAAGTGGTCTTTTTCCTGAATGAGAAATAATCATTGTCAGATAATGAGAGTTAGACGTAAAAAAGAACGGTTCACATTTATACCCCCCCCCCCCCCTTTTACGCCTCATTTATGGAAAATAGATTCGGAGAAAGATGACTATAACTGTTATGAAAAGTTATGCGATTGAACATATCTATGAATAGTTACGATATCCGCTACTTTTGAATCAACGTGTTTTTGTTCCGTAGAGAATTGTGCATAATGAATTACATTCTCTACTCAGACAGTCGACGGCATACCTCCGGAGCAGAAATGGCCGAGTCGCGGGGTTTCCCCAGGTGGGGGTTGCCTTCGTGCTCCGGAGCCCTCCCATTTGTGCTCCGGAAACCTCCCATTTATGCTTCGGAGTCCTCCCATTTTGCGCTCCGGAGACCTCCCATTTTGTGCTCCAGAGCCCTCCCATATGCTTCAGAGTCCTCCCATTTTGTGCTCCGGAGACCTCCCATTTTGTGCTCCAGAGCCCTCCCATTTGGGCTCCGGAGACCTCCCAATTTGTGCTCCGGAGCCCTCCCATTTTGTGCTCCGGAGACCTCCCATTTGCGCTCCTGAGACCTCCCATTTGTGCTCCGGAGCCCTGCCATTTTCTGCTCCGGAGGTGTCCCAAATCTGGCGTACTCGCGGCGGGCAAATCTCTCCGCCGCGGCTCTGCCAAATCTGGCGTACCTCCGGAGCAGAAATGGCGTACCTTTGGAGCAGATCCGGAGAAGGTCCCACTCGCCTGCCGGTGACGTCACCGTGACCTACAAGAAGGACCCCCCCCCCGCCCCGCTCTCATTGGTCAATCGGGTCCGCCGCGGCTCTGCCAAATTTCGACTGTCCGGTAGTACAAAAAAGTCTATCATTTAGGATAAACTACACAACAATGACAAAAACTTCATGATTTCGTAGAGTTCCTGAAGAAGCAAAAAGGAAACGATAGGTTTATAATTGAAGAACAGCAAATCATCATAATTTTGATGTGGTGAAAAACTCCAACAAGGAAACGATACTTGGTGTACGTGGCCTTTTGAAATGAAACGTACACCATCACACTCGTCTTGGAACGCTGATTCCGAATTTGACTTCCATTACTGCTAATCGTTTCTCCAAAAGAAGTTATGAATGATTTTTGCGTCAATAGCTGCCTAAGAGAAATACGACCGAATGCCCAACCTTTTAAAAAGAAGTTTGGTCAAAGAAATGCAAAATTGAAAAACACAAAAGGATTCGCACCTAAAACTGAATCAACTTATGAGGCTGTCGCACTGGCCACTACACCACACCAGAGCTGCGGTTTTGGCATTTCGACCTTTGGCGCGAAATCCTTCATAGCTTTTTTCAGAGAAATAAAACGGAAGAATTCGGACCTATATGTTGCAGTAATATACAAATCTTTTTATTCGAAGTTTTTCTGCTAAAACATACTCGTTGTTAAGAAAAAGTGAGTTTATTTAGTTTACAAAAATATTATGATTACGCTTGATTGAATTTTTTCGTGATTATGTTATTTTTCCTTTTCATTATAATGCATCATTTGCGCACCGAATCTTCACTATGTGCCAGAATTTATAATGTTTTACATCTCATCTAAGGTCACGGACACCGAGTATCGTCTTCTTGTAAGATGGAAAATCTTATAAATTCTGGCACATAGTGAAGATTCAGTGCGCAAATGATGCATTATAATGAAAAGGAAAAATAACATAATCACGAAAAAATTCGATCAAGCGTAATCATAATATTTTTGTAAAAATAAACTCACTTTTTCTAAACAACAAGTATTAGCAGAAAAAATTCGAATAAAGAGATTTGTACTACTGCAACATATAGACGCTTATCAGCTGTTGGTATTGCTTGCATGATTACAAGGCTGTGTGCATGTGCACTATAGTCGTCCTCACCCGCTAGTCGCCCAGTGGACAAGTTCGAATTCGGACTGGAGCAAGCTGTTGAGAAAGAGCAGGGCCCATTTAGCCCTTGGTTATCCTACATATGTTTTCTTCTGTTTTTCTTGTTTTCAAACAATACTTATTGTGTTTTAACAATGTAAATAGTTGAAGTTGACGACTTTGATGTTGTTGAGCGGTGGTTTCGCGCTTCTATGCACTTTGTTCAATTATAAGTTTAGGTAAGCTTAGCGCGCGGCATCCTGCCCTTACGCAAGATTATACATAATCTTCTTCCTTTATTTTTTGTTGTTAGCGGCTACTTTTATGTTAAAAACCAAGCTTCTCGTTAGAGTTGACGATGGTGTTGTTGCTAAAAGATTCTAAATACTACTTTTGATTCCTTAACCCCTTTTCAAAGTAAGCTTGGTCGAACGATGCAAAATGGAACTGGTTACACAAAACTTACTAAAGCAACAGTTCAGCTAATCATTGAGCAACGTACAAGCGCATTACTTGTCTTCATCGTATCTCCAAGCTCACCTGAATTTGAAGAAAAACGGATAGAAGTACGAAACATCGCTTAACAGCACTAAAGTCAATTTTGATCACGTATATTGCTAAAACACAGAAAATAACAGTTATAAAAAGACAATAACAGTTAGAAAAAGACAAGGCTTCAAAGGAGCTCCACGCCTCAGGTCACACAAGAAGTTTTTACTGCAGGCTTCGAAAAAAATGTGTGTCTTAGCCTTTTATAAAATCGTAGTGTGAACAAATCTCATTGATCAATCTAGATTATTTTCGATGCCAGCCACAAACAAATATGATCGGTTCCAAGTGTTGGTTTCACGAGATCCAGCGCGCATGTTTATGGCTTTTTTCTCAAAAACATCGCTTTAACACAATGGTGACTAAGGTCTTTCACGGGCCAATCATCAACACTTTGAGATAAAATCACGCATAATCCCATCCATAATCTACAGTAGAGTGGAGATGTTGACAAAAACAATGGGGGTTATTGTAGGTCATGCACAAAAAAAACTTCCGAAGCTTCCGAAGTGTCTTTGGTCTAAGATAGTAGTCGTTCAAACAAATTCAAGCTTTGACACACCAAGTATAG